CACAATATATATATATATATATATATTGTTACGTATCTGCTTGTTTGATAATTTCCCGTAAAACTTCTTTCCGAGGAACTTCAGCGATACAAGTCCTTTCTTAAACAAAACTAGTCTATTTTTTCTCAATACAACTTTGCAGTACACAGAATTTTCACAGTCAGTTTAATTTAAACACACGCTATAATTCACAACGATTCACGCACTTTACTTACAGTCACTACTGCTCGCTTGACTCAATTATCTGTCTATCTGCAATTATATATCCGCTTTATATGCCGGGCTTATATACTAAAATAGAGGGCGCCTAGAAAAGACTAGAGTTACCAGGAAAAGTCATGATCCTTCCAGAAACTCCAGCGCGCATGCTTCCAGTGTCACGTGACTTCCGCTGTCGTAACAATATATATATGTATATTATTTTAGCTTGATATATAAATATGGTTTGTAAACTAAAACATTTATATCACAGCAATTATTTCGATTAAAAAATTATTTTTCACTTCTTTTCGTGCAGGGAGACGAAGAGGCCACGTTAGGGCTTACTATCTCACCTTTCATGGATAGGCGAAACCCACAACTCGCGAAACTACAAGAATCTTTTATCAACCATTTGGTGGCTCCACTGTGCAATGCTTACGGAGAGGCGGGACTTCTCCCAGGCAAATGGGTGGAAAGCTTCGACAGTGAAGAGGAAGGTATGTAACATCTCAATTAATAAAGAAACACCTGGCGGTAAAATATTACGAGTTTTTGATACTCAACTTCGGTGGTCATACTTCTCATGCTATGCATGACTGACTATTTCCATTCTTCCAAAACAATGCCTATTACTTTTTATATTTTAAAATTTTGTTTCTGTTTGTTTCTTTTTACCTTCTGAAAGTTTCTTGGTTAATGGATGCTCACATTAAAATATGTTATTAATTTTTTGTCAAACTTGCTTTGAATCACAATCGTAACTGTAAAGGAGCAGACCACACAAAGATCCATGAGTCACGCTTCCCTGTTACTTACACGCCATAATTTAACAAACAACGATTTTGTAAAAACACAGGTAATGACTGTAGAAAACATACAGTACATTTTATAGAGTAAATATGACTGTCCTTAGAAATAGCTGTTTGTTAAATTTCTACTGTATCAACACAGTGTGCTTCCATACACAAATATTTGCACATCATGCTTGACTGAAAGAACAGTACTGATACGTCTCCGTTCGTTAGTTAATTTTCCGTAAATTCGTTCTGACGAATCTTTAGCGACACAAGTCCTTTCTTAAATAAAACTGGTTTATTCTTTCTGAATACAACTTTGCGATACACTTAATTTCAACAGTCGCGCTATAATTCTCAACGAACGTCTCACGTGCTCGAATTCAACAATACTCAGTTCAATTACACACTCTCTGACTGCAGTTCAATTACTCATTACCTCCCCGTCGCTTCGTGGCCGGTCTTATATATATACCAGGCTACCTCTAATCTAGTTGTCTCCCGATAATTCACGAAGGTTCGAGAAGGACGTGGCGTGATACTAGTCACGTGACCTCGCTGACGCAACAGTACTTTATCTATTCAGTTGCTAGAGACGCTGTAAAGCAAGGGAGGGTATCAGCAAAAAGTAATAACTCTTCAGTTAGCAAGACATGTTGTAGTTAGCAGTGACGTTGTTATGAGCCGTTAAGTAACACACTTAAGGTTTTTATATAGAGAATCGTTAGTGGTACCCAGTTAACACAGAACAGTATCTAAATATTGTCGGCAAAATCAACCTAAAGCTGTTCTAAGGCATTTTAATAAAAATTAAACTGTTTCTTACTCTAAGATGCCTTGATAACCATTATAATTTAAATCATATATATTAGTATAATTAGAACTACAAGTGCGAATTAAACATTATATTAACCCTTCAGAATTTAAATATACGTATATATATATATATACATATAGATCCAGTTTATATACTATTTTTCTCTGTAGCCGGCATTTTGCCTCTGCGAAGTCACTTGTTTTAATTAGAAAATGCGTTTTATTAATGTATGTTCACTGTTAATGATTTATTCAGTATCATAATATTTCATTCATTATATTTATAATTCTTTAACAACAATTATACCAAAATATTTGATATCAACTAAAACCACTTTTAGGCAACATGTATTTAATAGATTACCATCTAACAAATTATGTGAAGCATTTATAAACATACAAACAATGATGCTTGAACTTCACGGTAATAACTGTTGAATTCCTGCATGTTTCACGTCAACCTGACTTATCAGAATGTACCAGATTTACCACTCTCATATACAAACAATCCTGAAAATTTATGAAGATTGTGAATTACGAAACATGGATAAAGTATTGCAGTATGACATGTTAAATCATGTTGCACAAAATCATACAACGGTTTAAAAAATATCGGAAAATCCATAAAAGCCTACTTTTTGTGAAATATTCATCTAAATAAGATGTTTTAACAACTGTTAAAAATTATATGATATCATATTACAATATAAAATAATATATTATTGGGATGAATTTAACAATTTTGTTTATGTTCAATATTGATACTTGATGTTTAGATATCAGATATAAGGCTAAATTTGCTATTGTATTTTATCTAACAGCTGTGTCTGAAGACACTGACCAGATGGAGAGTTCTGACTTTAAAGATACTGAAGATGAACTAGTTGATAGTGATGGTGGTGTCAATAGCGGTAAATGCTCTTGTCCTCAAAAATATTTACATTAAGTAACATGCGCAACGTAAAATACAGTACAAACAATTAAAGAAAATTATCAAAAATGTATACATATAGTAATTTTTAATAGTTTATCGTAATATAACAGTTCTCTGTCATTATGTATGGTTATTTATTGAAACAACTTAATTAACTACATATACTGTCGTTGCAAAAGACTGTTTTATGGAAATAACTTGTAAGTTAGGTCACCGTTATTGTTTAAGACTGTTTTATAGAAATGTTTTCTGTTGTTATAAAACATGGCAGATTGTTTGAAATTATCACAGGTATGTTTTTTAATTGCCTAGGTACCTCCGGAAAACGACGTCGTGAGTTTCGGTTGAAACCCCGGAAAGTGCATTGCCTTCATACGATTCACTTGGAAGAAAACTACGACTACTGGGTGAATATATTAAAAGAAGAAAATTACGCCACGGAAGCCATAAATTCAGCTCCGACCAAGAATACAGAAGACTCCTCTACTACAGAGGAAGAAATGGAAACTATTCACGAAGAAGTTAGCCAATTGGCTCCTAAGGTTAAATATTAGGTCAGAGTTAGTGTGTTTTCTTATCTACAGTAAAAAATAATCAATTGCAAATAATTTGTTCATATGTTTAGAAAAAAAAAACTACATTATACCAAAGTGAATCTTATTACAGGCTTAAGTACCACTTTAAAATATCTTACGCTATCCACCTCTTTCAAAAGAGCTTTTCCTCGGTTAGAATAATAACACTGCCTCCATATTTGTTGCTGTGTTAAACTTACAATAAACCTTATTAACTCCACTGTCATTGCATAACATTGTTCTATGGATATAACTCGTAATGTAACTTCAGTTACATTCATTGAATTAATATTTTAATAGTTTGTGATATAACGTCTCTGCCTGGAAAGCTTGTGGATAAATGTAAGAAGTTAATTGCAAAAATGTTTAGGGCATTGTTTTAAAAGATCGTTCGGGCAAACCAATTGGAAATAGTACTAGAGTTCAAACTTCTATGAATTGTATCTGTTTATAGTCTAGTGGCGGAATACATTTGGTTTCTGTGTTGTAGCCTTTACCTGGTAAAAGCCGAAGTGTCGTCCATCTTTATACACACACAAACAGGTGTAGTAAAAAAATAACAGACTCAACGACAATACCTAGTATGGTTTATACATCACTCCACACTTCAAAACACTGGAGCCAGTGGCTAACATGCAGGATTGTGAATCCGCTCAATAGTTTAACATTTATAACTTTAGTAGAAAAATCAAGTTGTAAATAATGAACTAGGTATCTTTTGCATAAAGAATTTTATATATTGTTTCCCAGTCAATTCGTTGCCAATATGCTTATATTTTACTAAATTAAAAACTATCTTCTTTATGTTAATTAAAAGTACTAAAATTCGTATCCACAGTGTATAATGTTCAGCATGAAATTAAAAATCGACGCAAATCTTAACAACAAATGGTTCAACAGCCTTTCCAAGCAGTTCTGTCTGTAATGTTAAAAAACCCTCAGTCTAAAAGCTATATTCTACTCAAATGTTGAATATATTAGCAACTATTTTTGACTGTAGGATGCCCCAAATTAATATATATATATATATATATATATGTATGTATGTATATTTATCTCTCTATACAACTGAGGAGAACTTGGCGAATATGCCAACTGAATGCCCTAGAAAAATTTTGAAGAATAAAAGTAAACTTGATAAATCGGATAAACAGAGTCAAATTTAATGAAAGTACAACGTTTCACCAGGTTAACCTGGCATCATCAGGTACATCAACTACAATGAATGCATTGAAATTACAATATATATAATAATACAAGGGTACATTGAACTTTGATTGGGTAAATTTAACAGTAAGATATGATATTTCCGGAGAGTGTTTATTGATAGAGCTTGACCATAATCAACAAAATAGGAGAATACAAGTATTCTTTCAAAAATATAAAATATTATAACAACAAAATTTATAAATTAAATACTGTAACTTGAAAATTGTAAATAGAGGTAAAGTGATTCACATAAAATAATATAAAAAAACCTTTTTGAACATCAACATAGTTAAAGTTAGAATAGGTACAACTGTGTGCCAGAATACTTATTCATTTTAGACGTAAATTGTTTGATAAGCAAGGTACCCTTGCGCTGTATTATTGTATATATTTGTAGTTTCAATGCATTCATTGTAGTTGGTGTACCTGATGATGCCAGGTTAGCCTGGTGAAACGTTCTACTTTCATTAAATTTGACTCTGTTTATCCGATTTATCAAGTTTACTTTTAATAACGACAGGGTACTTCCTTTCATCGTATAATTTTGAAGAATGTAAACTATCAACTTTGTAAATATGACAAACATATCCATGCAAGTGACGAGTTGATTGGGTTACATTATAGAGTACTAACTAGTCTTCTATGATTTATTATTAGATTATTTTGTGCATAGTTAACGTTTGTTTTGTTTTTTACCTTTACAGAGTACTGTCAGCTGATGTCCCACTGTGCTGGCGCACCAGAGGGCGTCTACTTACTTGAAAAGATATGGTTAGTAATTAATATTTGTCTGAGTCACAGTTTTCTCCCGTTTATGTTTTGTGCCAAACGCTAAATTACACATCTTTGATTCTCCAACGTTATACATACGTGCTATGCTGGGGACACAAGTTTATAAGATGAGTTTTTGGATACAAGCAACCGGTTACAGCATTATTAGGTCCTAAAGGCTAATGAATGGTGACAGTTATGTGCCGATTACACGGGTTTCAGCCTATTGTTGAGCGTGAACTAAACCAAACTTTAGAGTGCGTAAAATAACATACTGAGAAAGACGTATTCTAGATTCAATATATTGCCACGCCTCTTACTATTATTTTGACCTTCTAATGTTTGAGTCACGCTCTCCTCTTCCATCAGTCATTCCAATGATTTAGCTATTCATTTTAAACAACGGAAATTGTGATAGCCATTTTTTGGATGAGTATTACAGAAATTGATTTACAATTATCTATCTCTTAGAAAGAAAACCTATGTACACGATCTAAATTTGTTTTTACTGCTTTTGATTGTTTATTAATAATTTTAATACACCCCAATTGAAAACCATTTCCATAAGTGAAAAACGACAGTTCTGTTTAGATTCAACTAGATAGATGACTCTTGTTAATATTTGCAAGTATATATTTAACAAAAATTACTTTTATTTCATAAAAATGTTTTATTTGTGTCTTTTATTTTATTTATAAGTTTCATACTTTTGAAAAAAGGACACAAAAGATCTCCTGATCATATTTCCAAGTGCTGAGGTTTCGTATTCAACATTGGAAGAGGGATATTTTGCAGACATTTACGTAAAATAGCAACAACTATTTTAGTAACCACCACTGGGTTTCAGGATAAGAGTCTCCATACCTATTTTATTATCCTATGTATGAAAAACAAACAAGTTTTCTTGTATGTCAAAACCGTTCAGAACTGGTATAGTGATAACCTCAGGACGATTGAAATTTGATACAATTTTTAGTTTATTATAGTTAAAAGTGACGTCATTAAGAACTTTTAGAAATTACAGCATTTAAGCCGTTTAATACACAATAAAGTATTGTTTGCCGGAAAATTCAGCATTCTAAAATCTACCATAACATTACCTTTTCAACAATAAAAAAGAAAAACAACGGTAAATTATGTTTTCTAACATTTGATATGAACCTCCACACTATGACTAGCTGAGAACAGCAGTGTCAGGCTACATCATCTCTCATCAGCCCCATCTAGGCTCACGAAAAAGAATATTATCCGAATAAGATTTTTATATCTTTAGGCGTGGAAAACAGTTTGATGTTAAATTGAACTTAAAGGCTTGATAAATTCAAATACTATTTTGCAATGAAAGAATGGTCAGGACTGTGTGTACAAGTTAAATCTACATCATAACCTTATAAATAATAGCAATTTTATGAAAAACGTATTGTCAAATTTTGTTGAAATATTGGGTTCTGAACAATTAAATAGTTTTCATTAATGAATTTCTATAAATATACCATTTGTTTGTGTAAATTCTATCTATATGTTCAAGCTTCATGTACCCAAACAGAACGCTTTTGCTACTTGGCCGAAGTTGAAGATGTTGCGGGTTCATTTTATACCAATATCGACTATCCAATAAATATATCAACCAACAGAAATACTTAGCCTTTGACATGGTTGAGAAATTTAACGGAATTCTGTCACTCGTTGATTTTTAGACTCCACTGGGTAGAAACTGTGTTACTTTAAAAAAGCACTGGTGTTCTGTATGACATTTTATATATATTTTGGCTTTTATTATGACGTTAAACATTACTTTATGTCAATGATGAACACATCTGGATTCTTCATTTCTTATGCTAGGGCATCAAATTGTATTTCCCGGAAAAAGACAGTTCTTTGTAAGAAGATAAAAGTATCTAAGCGAAAGTCATTTTGTATTTCTATGACTTTTTTTTTATATATCTGATTTGGTAATTTTTCAAACGTGCTTGGTTGTAACACTAATAGAAAATGAGATGGTTGTTAGCATGCTTTCTTTTAACAAACCAACTTTAAACGAGTTCTGGAATGAGTGAGATTTTTTAGAACGTGATGACGTATATCTAAATTCAACTCTGACGAGTGGATTGAAACAAAACTTATTATAAATGGGTTTTACGTCATTTTCAAACAGGTGTATCATTGTAACACCTCACTGTGAGTGATAGTAAGAGTTTCACATTATGACAGAGAACTAATCCGAAACATAAAGTCATATTTCTATATGTTAATAGTGTAATAACATACTAGTTTATAATTCATCCTCTGTACTGAGATGAAATGAGAGACCGGACACGTAACAACTAGATACCGGTATTTACTTTTAACATAAAGAACTTCTATGTACGTTCCACATTCCAGTTGGTGAAGACTGCTTTTGTTTATACATTTAAAACGAAGAAATAATGCAGTATATACAAAAGACATTTATCTCTAAAACGTTTTAGGAAACAAGCGAGTAATGTTTATTATACACCCGGAGAAGAACCGAATTCTGTATTTAACAAGGTAAAGGTAATACACGAACAATATTTGTCATTGGCTCAGAGGAGAAGCACTAGACACAGGTGATTACCCGTGATATGACGAGATTAAGGAAATACATTGAAATGATTGATAGCAAGATACTGATATTTACATATGACGGTATTCAACAGAAGTGTAATTCACCTTAGTCGCATACGGGGAGAAGGATAAGAAACTAAGGTAAGATGTATGGTATTTCCTTACTGAGATTAAGTAAGGGAAAGAGTTATGATTTTTCACATCTTAAGGGTTTAAATAAACAACATAAATAAGACACAAAAAAGACATGATGCGGACATTTACATATCCATAGCGTGTCTTTAAAAACGTTAATTAACCATAAATTTCGTTCTATTGGGTTTTATTGATGAATCGATAGATGTAGAATTCAAACAATAAATATATTCAGAATTTAATTGCAGCTGTATTTTGTAACGAAACTTGTTTTCGGATTAAGTGTTAAAAGTAAAAAACATGGTACTTTATTTACGACAAAATGCATTTTCTTCTTTAACCTATTACCCTACATAAGAGTTTAAGTTGTACTAACGCTATGATAACTGTTCTAATACATGACGGATTGGTAAGAAAGTGTCATTTATATTTCTAAGTTAGATAAGTTCTTAATATTTTACCTTATCTAAGTTTATACAAACATTTATGACTATTATGGCTAAGAAGACTTGTGAATACCGTTACTACTGCACTGATTAAGGATGTAAACTGTTTAAATAAGATGTTTATTTCTGAAATAACAGTTATGGAAAAGTTAATGTGCTAGCACAATTTGTATTCAAAAATTAATGGAAGGTTACATGTGTTCAAATTAAATGTCAGTATTCAAAGTTTGTTACAAAAATTATCAGCTTTTACTTGTAATATACAGAACAAGAGAAGATTAAATTAGAAGGTACTTCTCAAGTGTCGTGTTGAGTTACAAATTAAAAACGTAGCATTTAGAAAACTAGGCTTTTTCTTTAAAATTATAGTTTTTTCTTTACTGAAAAACAGCGTCAACGTTAAAAAAGAAAAACTTTGTGGTTGGTAGAAAGAACGACATTATTACACATCTGAAAAGAAACGTAAATATACTAAAATAAGTATAAAATAGTTTGACATTTTTTATAAAGTAAAAATCATACCATTTATTGAGAAAATATTAAAATACGTTAACACTTGTTTCTTGTCAGAAAAAGGTTGTGATACACTACGTACCAATTACTGCTATTAACAATACTTTCGAAACAGTTTTGTTTCGTTGATATTCTGTTTTGATTTCAGTTCATTGTATCTCTTTGAGCATTTAATTTGTATTGATTGTAGGCTGTTTTTTACTTCACTCACTGTTATATCGATTCAGACCGATAAAATATTTAAAAACAACATATTCAGCTTCGTAAAATTCCACTTTCTCATAAATTATTCTTTGGATATAATTCAGTTACAATTTTTCTGTTAACTAATTTTGGTTAAAATCTATAACAATTTCCCTCTACCATTTAGGGTTCTTAATTGACCATTAAAAAAATATTTGTTTCAAATTCGTTAAACTAGAGTATTTCTTTTGTACATATTAGAAACTATAAATGCTATCTCTAGTATGAGTCTGTCATATTTTAATAATCCTTATAGTGAGAATGTATATTAGTGTGTTTGTACGTGCATATATTTAAATTATTGTTGAGAATCTCTTCGTAATGTTGTTAGCATAGATATCCATAATGTATTACAACTTATGTTAAGCCTAATTTGTCTTCATATTAGGTTAGACAATATCACTATTATTTTTTCTTTCTGGGGATCAGTATAGAGTTAGAGTAAAATATGTTATTTTCCTTCACTTGTAAATTTCAGTCATGAAAGTATTGCTATTACTTAGTACTACACAACTTAAGTTCCTTCTCTCTTTTTCTTCAATAATTTAATCTACTCCATCTACTAATAGATTTTCAATTACTCAAAAACTTCTTACGGGTAATTAAATAAAAATATTTTTATTTTGGGAAACTTAACTCCTCTTTTTCATTTCCAAACCGTAAATTATCTAGCACGTCGAACGTTGTAGATAACTGTATAACAAATGTACGTTATTTTGTCATTAAAGGTAAGCTGAAGAGTACCATCAGGTTATTCACGATGATAAACTCATTATCAGGAGACTCGTGTTGAATTGTCACGATTGAGTAGCCTTAGATATAGTGAAAGAACTGTATTGTAATTTTTTTGTTTGTTTCACATACCCAAGGGTGTAGTTGAATGTTTATAATTCCTTTCAAACGATATATAATTTAATCCTAAAATCATGAGTCAGACGTACAAAAATTGAAATGTTTAGGTTTCAACGTTAGGGGTCGATCTCTTGGTTTGAAAAACGCAATAAAACTCCAAAAATATTTTAGTATTGAGGAATTTTTTTTCCGAAGCAAGGCTATTTGTGTACAGGGCCATTCCGTTTTGGTCTTGATTTGGTTTTCAAGATATTCATAAGATCGAGTACATTGCGCATCGATGGTTGAGGCCTGATCAATCATATCTAAGTTTGTCGATCACTCAACGATCTAAAACAATGAAATTGTTCAAAATGAGAAGAACAAAGTATCATATTCTTAATATTCCTTCTGTTTCACAATTTTCTCGCACTTTTTTTAAACTGGGTCCTAACATTTTGGGATAACCTCTCTCTCTTCCTGAAATCCAAACGTTTACGTTTCATTGAAATATCGCACTTTCCAAAGTCATAGTTGCGGTGACTAGGTAATTATGACTTCTTCCCATGCATATGACTAGTTTAGAACCAAAATCAGGTTTCTTATAAGTGGATTACTTTGTAAAAGGCAATGGACTTTCGCCAAAATCTTGATACACATGGAGAGGAAAAACTCATTTTCAAATAATGATTTCCCTTCAAGAGGTGAACCAATGAGCACAAAAGTTGTGTTTTTCGAAAGTTTTAATACTCAATTATCGTGAAAGGGTAATTTTGATGCTTTTTATCCTTAACCAGATGTTGTGATAACCAAAACATTCACTAGTTTTTGTACGATCGACTACCGATTTTAGAGTGAAAAAAATCTGTCTATTGAAATATATTTGTTAAATATCATAATATAGCTTACAAAAGTAGGAAAATAATAGCAATATTTAAATAAAAAACATGGGCGAAAAAATAAATTTTGAAATATCGGTAAAAATGTGAAAATAATACAGTTAAATAAAGAATAGCATTTAACCTCAAACATTTTTTTTTCAATGAAATATAAAAAACTACTGAGATAAATGTTTCCTTGCTTATCTGATTTTATTTCCTCTGTATATAGTTCTTCTTTACAATTTTTGTCTAGAAAAAATATTTGAAAAAATATCGGCTCTTAAAGGAGAGTAAGTCTAGAATACAGCCTAATCTTTCACATAGGTGCTGTTTCCTTTACACCCATCGTCTATGTGAGGATGACTTCATATCTCAAGCATTATTTAACGTTTAATTACTTCTCGTTTAATATTTTGCAAACTCTTAGACCTCCTACCATACCACTGCCCAGCATAGATCTCAAACACCAAAACAATATAGTTGATTCAAATTGTTTTTTTGTTTTCGCTACAGTATTGGGTTAATAAGTCTTTATACAATGATAAATTACTAAATTAAAGAAAACCCTACTTACTTGTGATGTCATACTTCAAAAATCGATGTTTTTATTATGTGCATCATGGGGCAGAAATAATTGATGGGTTAGGCCAGTGAAAAGGCATTATTTGTATTACATTTAACCAATCAGAATCAGGTCACCCCGGCTTCTTAGGATAATTGAGTTACCTGCAAGATTAATACTTATTAAAAAATCCACACCATGATAGAAAATATGTCTGTATAAAAATATTTGAGCCTAACAATGGGCCAAATGCTCCACTAGGATGTATGTAAAAAACAAGATTATTATGAAAAGGACTTAATTGGGTTCCTAATAATGCAATATCTCATGAACTAATTACATTGAAGAAAAATGTTTCAGAGTTTGGTTAAAGGAATTCAATGAACTTATGATATCAGGTGCACGTGATCAACTTTACATGTACATACACAAGAGACAGATCCAAACTGTTGACTATATATTCTCTGATTAAAGGGCGTGTTCTAAAGAGAAAAAGATACTTCCAACTCGCATCTCGACTTCCATTTATCTAATTAAAAACAAGCTTTTAATTTCAGGCTTAAGTTTTTACATAAAAAAAGCGATTTTTTGTAAACAATATTATGGTGTTTGATAATGAAATGCTGACATCGTTTTTTTTTAAATGTCAGTGTTTTAGATTGGAAAATATTTTGTATTTTACTATGTATATGTGTTACTAGCATATCCGCTTAAGTTTATTCTGTGAAATTGAATGCTTTGTATGTATATTTTTAAAAAGCATAGTGTAAAAATATTGATAACTTCCGTATAAAGTGAACAGAATGAACAAAGAACTTTCGAATTAAGTTCTCAGTATAATCATTAAATTGTGCGCATTTTCTGCTTCTATATATTAAATAGTCAAACTCGTGTCTGTTTTAATCGTCTTGTAAGTTTAACAAGATATTGGAAATATCAAAGAAATGACGAATGTTTCTATCTATCTCTCTTTTTTATTGCCATTTATTATTGTGCTTTAAACTTTCAAGAACAGGGTAGAAAGTTTCACATGCTTCATTCATTTGATGTCAATGTGTTATTCAAAAAAAATACAAGTATTTTACTTGCAGTGCACAGAACAAAAGATGTTGAAACACGAAACTGGTGCTTAAAATGATATGAAATTGAAGTCAAAATTACAGCTATGAATTCAATATTATAATTTATCCAAAAATTCCTTCACGCTATCTATTTGTCTCCCAGTGGCTCAGCGGTAAGTCTTAAGGCTTATAACGCTAAAAACCAGTGTTTGGTGTACAAATCATAGATAGCCCATTATCAGAGCCG